AATGGCCATGGTACCTATCCGCTAGGGTTATTGTGGAAACTATTATGAATCTCCATCTGGTATCACAGTAACTGACACTTAGGAGGTGTTCAGCACATTTGCACTGAATGAACAAGATGGCATTTCTGTTCTCTAATTGAAAAACAAACCACAATGATACTTTAGGATTAAAAATAAACAAAGAAACAAAACCTCCCAGGAGAGCACAGCTAACTTCTGCCTGGCATACAGCTCCTGAATATCACCCTCACTTCCGAGAACAAAAAGATGATTACCAATAAAAATGTTGGCTGCTCACCTTCCACATCTGCTGTGTTTGGCTCTGAAGCCTTTTCCAGTGGAGGCGCCAAGCAAGTCTTTATACAGCCTTTTGTTAGATTTTTTGAGGGAGGTTTTATTTTTCCTCTTAGTACTGTCCTAGATGTCACTCATAAATAAGTTGTCAGCACTGATACAAGGCTGAACCGTTAGCACCAGGGCTCCCACTCAAATCCTAGCCACCCCCCGCCGCCTTGGGGCTGGGAAAAGACAATGAAAGGTGGTCTATGTTTTGACTTCAATGGTGTTCAAAATCAAAGGTGCTCAGGCCTGGAGAGTCCTAGAGGGCGTCAGATGGCTTCCCTTGGTAATTCCATGTCATTTTCATTCTGATACATGTGGAGGGAGGCAGATACTGACTACTGACCACAGTGGGTGTGAGATGCAGATGAGGGTTGGGGGCAATAAGTTAACATTTCTGAAGGCTGATGTGAGGCAGACCGTGTGCTGGGCACCTTTCATGGGCATCTCAGTGATCCGCACAGGAAATCAGTCAGGTGAGCAGTACCATCCCGCCTCACCAGCGAGGCATGTGAGAGTCTGAGAGGTCACATAGGTGGCCAAAAGCCCCATGGGGAACTGCCCCCTTATCTGGCTCAAGTCTTGGCTCATCCTGGTATTTACTAGTCCTAAGGGCTGGATCAGAGTAGGTGAGGCTCACCTCCCTGGACGGGGGGCAGGAACTGAGTGCTCCAATCCTTCCTGATACCTCATACCCAGAACAGGGCTGCCCCACTGGAATCCTGGTAGATTTTAAAACTTATATGCATAAGTTCACTTGTCTGTCTGGTGAAGATATTAATTCTCTCATCATTGGTTTCTTATGTGGATTAAATGAAATAAGGAATGGTGCTATTTGTTGAGCAGGCATTCAATAACTGTGAACACACTTCCTTTCCACCTTTTTTGATTATTGCTCGTTTCAGCCTCCCAGTTCCTCCAGTCTCACCCTGTGATGAAAATGCTTTAAAAAGCTGCATATACTCTCCATCTCCGCCTACACCCCTGCCACCACATATACGTAAGAAGGATCACAGAAAATTCAGAGGGATAATAAAGGACTATTCATTCTGAATTAGGACCAGTACAATTTTGAAAAATCAACATATACTATAATTTCATAAAACTGATGGATTGTTCTGAAGTCCCCAGGGTTCTGATGCTATTGATTTACTGACACATCAACTTATGCGAACTATAAAAGGAAATGCTGCTTTGAAATCACATGACTCCATTCTACAAGGAGCTCAAGAATTTCAAAAGGATTATACTTACATATATTGTTTTTACAGAACAGGAAGGGGTGCAGGGATATCAACCTCACTTTATATACACTAAGGAAAATGAACAAAGCCAATAAAACACCCAAAATAAAAACCAGGACTAACCATGTCTTTTCCTCTCCAAAATCTAATGGGTTAGAACCGTATCCAGTCCACTGAAAAGTAAACATGTGAACAATTAGAATATGTAAATTACACCAGTCATCTCAGAAATATTTAAATACATTTTGGTTCCCTTTTCTCCGAACATGTCAGAATTCCTGGATGTCGCCAGAAGCTCCGGCCTCACCAGATCAAAGGAAGCACTGAAAACCATCACATCATTCATGTGACGTGGGGCAATCCCCTCCACAAACCTCCGGCGGCGTTCCAGCCCAGGGCCAGATCCTTGCTGGCCTGCTTCATATACTGAAGGATTCAACTAAAACACAAATCACGAGAACCTTCTTCCCTTTCTGCCCCCAAGAATATGAAGGTGCTCTCTTCTCTGTGATGCTGGGACAACAAAAATGTAGTGACTAAAGGGATAAGTGACACCATTTGTGCAATGAGGCAGCAGGGACACCTCGGGCTGTCCACAATGACCACAATCCAGGCTTCATGTGGTCAGAATTCCTTCCTGATGCAAGAGCTTATAGTTTCTTACTGTGGTGAATTATTAAAAACAGCCACACTAGTTCCCCATCCTGCATGCAAGCCTCTGTGCAATGTGACTTTGTTGCTCTTACCATCGGCGGTGGAGTCTTATCTTTCCAACCCTTGGGTCTAGGTTTGGCCATATGACTTGCTTTGACCATTGGGCCATTAGCAAATGTGATGTAAGCAGAGGCCTGAGAAGAGTTTGCACTCCAGAGCTTGCCTTCTTGCTCCCAGGAACTCTTCCATGTCACATGAACAAGCCCTGACTAGCCCCCTAGAGAATGGGAAAATGCACAAAGGGAAGCAGCAGTCTCCCCAACAGCCCAATGGAGACCTCAGAAATGGGAATGAGGTCATCCCAGACCTCCTAGCCCCAACCATGTCAGACCAAATCAGAACTACCACCAGCTGGCCCACAAAACAGTGAATACATAAAACAGTGGTTGTTTGAAGTTGCTAAGTTGTTTTTGTTTTTTTAAGGGGAGGGGAGTTTATCAATAACAAAACTGCATCAATACACTCAACTTCGTGTTCCACTTCTTGAACTCTGGCTTTACTTGCACACTGGAAGGAGTTTGTGGGATTGATCATAAGCAGATGACACACAGAAGAAAATACTTTCAAGAGTTCCTTTAGGAGCTTAACATAGTGCCTCTCCAACTTCTCAACACTTTTAGACTAACCTCGAGGAATCTAATCCATAAAACCACTCACAGACAGGCACTAGGTTTATGTATATGGATGGTCTCTGTGGCATTATTTGTAATAATACAAAAGTGGACACATCTAAATATCAATCATTAGAGAAAAGGGTAATAAATTATAGTTCAAAGTAAAACACAAAAAAAGCGCGAATGGTTAAATGCTTTTCAAAGAAGCTATTCTAACCAATGGGTAGCTTTCATTTACCACAGCAGGTATCTCAACAGTCAGGAATCTGAGATTTAACCTGCGGATACTACTTATTGCACTGGAAACCACCATACACAAATTAAACTTTCCCCCGAGTCACAAGGTATGTAACAAGTGGCTGGTGTAGACTGCCAGGGTCATGGGTGGGATATTTCTACTCAATCCTTTATAAAAAAATGTACATATAGATATAACAAAATTCAACTTTTTCCCTGGGCATTATAGATTTTTTTAAATGTATGGCTCTACTATTATTCATGATAATCAAAAAGTGGAAGCAACCCAAAAGTCCATCAACTGATGAATGGATAAACAAAATATGGTATAGTCACACAATGGAGTATTATTTGGCCATAAAAAGGAACAGAAAGATTGATGCATGCTATAGCATGGATGAACCTTGAAAACATTATGCTAAGTGAAAGAAGCAGACACAAAAGGTCACGTATTGTATGATTCCAATTATAAAAAATGTTCAGAATAGGCAAATCCATAGACAGAAAGTGGATTAGTGGCTGCCAGGAGCTAGAGGAGGGGTGAATGGGGAGTGACTGCTACCGGGTTTAGAGTTTCTTTGTGGGGTGATGAAGGTGTTCTAAAATTTATTGTGGTGATGGCTGAACAATTCTGTGAATATATGAAAAACCACTGAACTGTACAATGTAAATTGGTGAATTGCATAGTATGTGAATTATATGTCAATAAAGCTGTTTGAGGGGGGAAAAAAACCCCCCAAATAAATAGATAAGTGTAACACTCAATGTTTCATGATGTGGAATGCAGGTCAGTTCTCATTATAATGTAATGTAAACAAGTATATTTAAATCCTGGTGAAAATCTCAACTTTATCATTTTGCTAATTAAAGGACAGTTTTTACTTACTGAAGACTCACTAAGTCTCTAAAACCCATAAATTCCCAATTTATTTAGATCTGCCCTAGCATCTAATAGAGGAGAATTAACACGAACCAGTAACAACTGAAAGAGTCTCAGGCTGATACCCCTCGATGTTCTAGGTTAGTGATTATGAGCCTGGGAAAACGGAGGCTCTTTTGAACAGACATGTAGAAGCTGGGGCCCAGAGAGAGGGGTAGGGTGGGGGGCTGAGTTGGAGAGCTTGGGAAAATGTTCTAAGCGTTTTCAAAGTTTAACGTGTAAGGCTCGCTGACGAGGCATCCCAGGCCTGACATCTCCTTGTCTCCCAAAGCCACCTCTCTCTCCTCAGCCTTCACTGTTTGTGTACATGTCTGATCTCCCATCTGGACTATACAGGCTCCTAGAGGGGGCCGCCATGTCAGTTCCATTTTCCATCTCTCTCAGAATTCGGCGAAGTTCAGTATAACCAGCAGGTAACTAAGAAATAAGTCAAATTCATACAATAGATAACTTAGGGGTAACAGGTATGATACAGAAAAATTCTCCACTTTACAAAAAGACTCAATGAAGAGTTTCTTTAGGGAAAAAGCTCCCCTCATCGATATAAAAGGAGGGTTTGATTTAGGAAAAGACCTGCTAACCCTCCCCTTTTCCAGGAATCTACATTAAGCGTGTACTGCGTAGAATCTAGATTAGCCATGAACAAGCTCTTTCTCTCCCTGTAGAGCACAGCAAAGCGAAGAACTCAAAAGCTGATGCTTGTAAAGACTCCTCCCTGCATCATGAATACAGACACAGATAAGGTTCCAATTCAGGACACTTCTTAGACACTCAAGCCAGGGATGGGACAGCTGAAACGAAAGCTTTCTCATTCCCAGGGATTTGAGTTGCCCAGATCCCACAAGCAGAGAGATTCAGCGTCTCATCAGAGGGTTAGCACCCAAGCAGACACGGGAGGGGCTGGGACCTCACCTCAGGGATCAGCCGCCGCCTCTTCACGCTGGGGGCAGAGTCTGGCTGGCCCTCACTGCTGCTCGGCTGCTTTCGCTTGCTGGAGTCCTGGAGGGTGATGAAGACACTGTCCAGAGGGTGTTTCTCTGAAGACCTGGAATTCACCGAGCAGTCCAGCGCAGCATCTTCAGCCTCTGTCTCCACCTTCACAGTGCTGTTTTTTAGAACTGTGGCAGAGAAGAGAGAGGGCTCAGCGGGAGAGGCCACTGGGCTGCTCAGAGATCAGCGGGGTACCCTGAGAGACAGGTTGTTTGTGGACCGCCCTTTGACACTACCGCTCAGATAATAAAGCCTAGTCACAATAAAACTGCGCCTTCCAAGCAAGCGATTTTTATCTTACCACACTAGGGCCATACAATAAAACCAAGTTCCAAGAACATTTGGGGGGGGGGGGGGGGGGAAGGGAGAGAGAAACAAATACTATCTTTTTAAAGATGCTTTTAGAAAAGTAACTCTGGAAAGGTACATAAGATACTTATAACAGGTGTGTGGGTGCAGGGGGATGAGAACCACGGGTGGGAGACTTTTCATTGATTTTTCATTTTGTATCTTTTCATATATTTGAACCATGGGAATGTATGACCTGATAAAAATATTAAATTAAAAATAATTTTTAATTGGTTCACAGTAAATATCAAAATATAATGGGCTCTAACTTAAAATATTTAATAAGTATAGATTTTAATTGAGAATTATCTTTGAGTAGATGTAGTCACAAAGTGCATTAATATTCTTAATGGGATATTTGGTGGCTATTCCAAAGCATAGAGTGCCTAAATTTTATGTTGAAAGTGTCTTTCATGACTGGTATTAACTTTTCTGAAATTACACATGGCTTTTCAAATTTCTAATGTATCCAAGATATGCTGTACTGTTAGGATCTCGTCTTTCAATGCATGGAAGCTATCAACCTCAGAACATTCTATGTAAATTATATCTGCAAGAAAACCTCAGGCAGCCAAGAAGAAATGAAGCCCAAATTAAACTTGAAAATGCACCTTAAAATAATATACATATACATATATATATATATATACACACACATATACACATACATATAATACTTTTGAAATATGATCCTGCTTGATTTGGATGGGATGGCCATTAAATACACATTTTGACCTAAAAAGTAATAATTTTTAATAAGGTTTGGTTTTTTTACCTTCTTCTACATCTTCACTGAATTCAGTTGAGTTCATCTTCTATTCCACTAAATGAAAAGACAAAGACAAAGTCTTGATTTATTGCTTGATTCATTAATTAATGTTCCCTACCCATGAGAAATCCCCTTCCCCTTCCTACCCTGGCTCCTGGGAACGAAAGGTTAAGCCGACACTGCTCTGCTCTGCAGCATCGTGGAAAATCGCATCCTCTTATTCTTGCTTGCAGTTGCTCAAAGCAGCCAGGCCTTCTGTGTGCCTGCTGGGAGCACTTCTCCCAGACTTTATGTGGGCAGAACATGTCTTAAAGCTTCAACTGAGAGACACTTACAGAGCTAGGGGAACGTTATTTGAGAAGATAATCTTTGGTAAAGACCCCAGAGTTTGAATGATCTGTTCGTCTCTGCTTTATAAATCTCAGCCACAGGAATGAAAAGGCTGACCAAGGACGGAAGCTATGGATCCTGTAGACCGGAGCTGAGGTCTTAGGACTCCAGGTGGTCTGATGGGACCTGTGCTGCCCACGACGGTAGCCACTAGTCATATAGCTACTGAGGTCTGGAAATGTGACTAGTTCAAATGAAGACATGCTCTAAGTGTAAAATATACACTCTGGATTTCAAAGACTTAGCATAGCAAAAAAGAATGTAAAATATCTCATTAATAATTTTTATATTGATTACATGTTGAAATGTTAATATTTTGGATTTATTGAGCTAAATACATTACTTTATTAAAATTAATTTCACCTCTTTTAATGTGGTTATTAGAAAACTTAAAATAACATATGTGGCTTGCATTATATTTTTATTGGATGGTGCTGGTCTAGCCCTTCCTTCAGAAACAACTTTCTCTTTTAGAGAAAGAGGCACTGTGGGTTTTTAAAGCTCTCAAGCTCCACACGATTCAGTCCAAACCCCTTTTTATTGACGAAGGAATGAGGCGATGGGGGTGGAAGGTGTCCTGAATGGGTTTCAGGGTCCGGTGCAAAGCTGGCCCTTGACTCCCCATTGTCCCAACTGGAATGCAATGGTCACCATGATTAAAATCACCATTAAGTCTTTGAGATTCCCCAAATTATAGAACAGCATGTCTGTAAATAGTATAAGGTATAAATGAGGTAGTAACATTAGAAAAGTATATACGTGACAGCCCTTCATAATGTCACTGAGGAGTTGTGATTAAGAGGACTGCAAATACCAAGTCCCATTTTGGTTAAGGATCAGAGGAGAGCAGGACTAAGCAGAATCTCAAGAGGGATGCCATCTACAAAGTTCAGTAAACCACTGACCGAGTACCTGTGGAATGGTGTGTGGTCCCGTTTTAGGCGGCTGAGTGGAGTGTTAAGGGGCGGGGCAAGCTAGAGGGAGAGTCTAGGTGATCTATGCATAGGAAAATTTCCAAATTCACTAGTAACAGCAACACTCATATAGTGCTTATGATATGATGCACTATTCTTAGTGTGTCACAATAATTAGATGACAGGCCCAATTCTCTTCATCCCTGTATTACAAATTTTCAGAGAAATGGATAAGAAAATGTAAGATTTGAAGATGAAATTACATTAAAAATAATTCCTATTTACCAAATTATACCCTACCTGGAAAACATAATACACAAAGTGATAATGAGATAAAATAAGTTAACTTCAATAGTCCAAGAACTATTTTACTGGAGGTGAATTCTAGCAAATACAAATTCCTCTGTATTCCAGGCAAATAAACCTCATGTTAGATACCATTACCTGACCTGGGTGTCTCTGGGGAGAAGCACAGGCAGGTAGGTGGGAATTTCCCGTTTGCAAGGCCTGAGAAACCCATAACTGCATTTTGGAAAAGAGGGTTGACCAACATCAACAGAAATTCAGGCCTCCCGATTCCCAGCCCAGTCCGGGGGCCCCTCAAGGAGACGCACTTCAGGTTTCACCTGAAGGCCCGAGTGTGGCAACTGCCCTTGGAAACCTGCCACATGGTCACATAATCCATTCACTCAAATCCAGGGCAGAGGCAAGAAGCAGCAGAACAGATGGGGAGAATGAGCAAAGGGCTGGTGGAGAGGGTACAGTGTACGAAAGAAATTACATGCTGGGGAGAAAGGCTGGGCAAGGGAGGAAACGGTGGATGGTTTATTTGGAGGGAAAAAGGGTCATGGTGAAAGAAAAACCACAAAGGCTTTGACTAAGTAGAAAGCATTTCAAGGACAAGTGAATCCTAGAAGAAGGGAAAAACAGGAGTTGATGAAAAAATCTAGCAGACAGAACCACAAGTGTTGAGCAAGGACGGTATGGCATCTAGTATGGCATCCGCCCACCCATATTTCTCTCAGGAGCAGTGGGGAGCCCACTGAGGCGGACAGCATGGGGCCTGGAGTCAAGGGCTGGGTGTGGTCTCTGCCGGGATGTGACTCAGTGAGCAGGAAGGGTATTTTCTGAACCACCACCATGTGACACCATAGCAGACAATTTAGCACCTGAATTCTGAGCTCCAGTGAGTCTCATGTCAGAAAATGATGGAGGGGCACACAGCTGAGCCACCTGAAAGGAAAGGCATAGCGGGGGCGGGAAAGGCTCATGGTGGGAGAGAGGTGGGAGGAAGGGGCGGCCGGCTTCCTGGGCATTCAAGATGCTCCGAGTGCATCTGCTTTGGAAAACATCTCTGTGTTCATTTATAGACCAGTGACAGATGCTAGATTAACACAGAAATAACCCAGAACACACTACGGTCGGCCCCTTCCTTCCCAGCCAGCAAAGGAAGCCATGCTCTTTGGGAAGCTGAGGAATTTCCCATTGGCAGGGCCTGGAAAACCCACAACTGCATCTGGCTTGTGTAGAGGGGAGTGAGATGAGGGTTCTCATCAACATCTGCACCCCATGAACTGCATGCCAGGTGCCAGCTGGCCACTTCGTGTGTGCCTTCATCTCACCTTGAGCTATTTTAACCCCAATTTCACCAGTAAGGAAATTGTGGGCGTAACCTTAAATATACACAATTTTTATTTGTCCACTATACCTCAATAAAGGGTGGAAACATATTTTTATATCATTTTGATTATGGAAATAAAATATTTGAATACCGAAAGGGGAAATGGAGGGCAGGTAATTTGCCCAGTGTCACACAGCTGTGAAGCGGCAGAACTAGGGTTCAAACGACATTTGTGTGTATCAGCCACCAGGAGATGAACTACTAAGAGAATCCTCCTTCTTCTGTGCAAGTTCTCCTGATGAACAAGGGGCCAATTTCCAGCCTTGGATCTCTCGGTCCAACAGCAGCTGGAACATCCAAATCTCCTTTCGTCCCCCATGTAGCTAGCTGGCTACCTGGAACACCAATCTGCTCTGTGCTTATAAATAGACACAGCTCCGCAGCACAGAAGTTTCTACCAGAGGGATGTGTGGGTCACTTCAGGCATCCTGAGCTGACGTAGTGACAGCACATCAACGACGTCAGGGCTGGGCGGCAAGGGGGTGGGTATCGCGTTTGCTACCTCCATTTCCTGGTCACCTGACAGATGAAGGTCACAGGGTTGCTCATCCTGGGTGGATTCTGAGTGTTCAGATGCCGAGCGTGCCACAGAAATTCCTCCTGCTACTTAACTATAGGTTATGTAGGAGCTACCAACCACCACAGCTCCCGCCCACCCAGGCTGCTAGAATTGCAATCTCCTCCGCAAAGCCCTCTTATTCCTCTCGCCACAAGTCTTGAATTGTGAGATAATCTAACGATGCTTCCACACATCCCTGAAAATCAGCTTTCTCCCCAAGGAGTGGCTATTCCATGTCCCTCAGAAACCCATGACCAAGCCCAAGGGAAGATGATTTAAACAAATTAAGGGAAACGTGTGTCATGTCAACAAGACCTGTGTAGCCTGCTGCTGCCCCTAAAATATCACAGGTTCTAAGGCATCGATGACCACCATCAGTGGGTAACTCTCAAACAGGACTAATCGCCAGTGGTTAATCTAATAAGTAAAACGCTTTTTTTTTTTTTAACCAAATAATTTAGGAAGTCTCAGGCAAAGTGACTGTCACTGGTACAGAAAGGTTTTCAATGGTGCAGAGCTTTTAGGAGTGTATATAATTTTATTAAAATGCCTCCTAGTCTCTATCCTTCTACAAGGAGTGAAATGGACAAGATTCAATTTCCCATGCACAGGTATAATTCCGTTTGTAGTTGAGGGAAGATCAGAATGTCATTAGAAAAGCTTTCAGTTTACAAAAAGCACAAAAGGGAGGGTAATCCCAATGTTCACAAGTAACATGCTTTAGCCAGCCACTCAAATATAAACTTACAAAGGACAAGATGCTTAAATTGGCTGCATTAAATGCGATAGCTGGCGGAGCTACCTCTGCCTCATGCTGACATCAGGCTGAGTCTGAATCCCGAATATCAGCATGCACCTGGCTTGGGGCAGGAAGGGATGCTGAGGAGGGAAGAAAGTGTGAATAAGGGGGTGTGGGGACAGGGCAGGGAAGGACCACAGAGAAGTGAGAACCATTCACTGGTGCTTAGAAAGAACCGAGTCTAGGAGATGCCACAAAGAAATGGAAAAACTGGGAAGATTTACTATAGATCAATTTATATTTTTAGAGCTCATTTTAAGAAGAGAAAATGTTTAAAATCGTTTTTTTTTCTTTTTGACTATGAAACACAATTCAAAAGGTATAGAAGGTACCAAATATCTTTTTATACCTTTAGAATTTAAGAAGTCCACTATCTCTCAGTCTTGGAGGCAATAGTGTTATTTTTTCTGTGTGTCCTACAGAGATCCTGTGTATCAGTGGTTCCCACAGTGTGCTCCGTATACAGTGGTGCACTGCAGCCAGCTTCTACTGGCTCTATCCCTAACTCCACTACTAGTGGAGTGAGTTGGTAGCTCAAAATTGACCACAGTGGGAGTAGTTACACCATGGAAACGGTCACTTTTAACATCCAGGGTGTTTTTCTGTCTTTTTGGAGAACAGGTGAAGTAGTATATCCAAGACCCTTTCAGGGGGTCCATGAGATCAAAACTAGTTTCTTAATAACACTGAGATGTTACTGCCCCTTTTCTC